GCCAACTCACACGCCCCCCCCCACCCCACCCCGAAACTTATCCTTAGCGGTACACAGATATCATTGTTTAGGGAGACGAATCCCGGCATGATGTTCCACGTCTGGGATTGGACAACGGCGGTCAACCGCACCCGCTCCCCGAACATCGGAACGCCATCATGAATCGTCAAATCAGATATAACCCAACTCATGTCTCGGACACCGTAACACATGTTGTGGATTGTGGTGCGCGTGGATGCATGCACACACTCGAGGCGGCGGTCAAGCGCCTCTCGTGCAACAAGCCCACAGGAACACGATTCGACCACAGCGACAACGACAACAAACAAACGACGAACAAATGACACGGCGCCACCCAAAAGCAGCAAGCACGCGCTTCTCTTCTTCCCTGAACCACGAAAGCATGTACGTGTGTCCAACCACTCTCCTAGCGGCATCAGACAACACAGCAGCTATAAAACCGTTACCTAAAAAAACATACACCGTAGGTCTTTGCTTCATCCCCTCCCCTCCCCGCCCCGGCCCCGCCCGGTGGTATCCGAAATCAACTGAGACTTGCACGAAAAAGGGAAACAAACCTATCCTCCACGACAGAGGCCGCCATCACAAAATGACGATAACTCCAAACTGATCATGTGGCACGCCATCCGTAGACCTACCTACCTCGCATCTGGCGCTAGCAGTACACAAGACACACGACACACGCGGCCATGCTCGCACGATCCTGGTTGAGCCGATGGCCTCTCCTCGACAGCACCACCCAGCAACAACAACAACACCGCCGAGCGCACCGAAATCGACCCCCGCCCATCACCATCCCTCGAACGCACCACTCGTCACTCCTGTTCCCGACCAAGATACCCCCACCCCAGTCCACCCCCACCCTCACTTCACCGTCCGGGGGGGACCCCATGGCCACCTATCTCGGCCCACCCGCCAACAAGCAAAATTCTCCCTGAAAACAAGTAGTGTCCCACATTCAATGAAAGAAAGTTATTTCATTGGGGGGAGGCGGGGAGACTAGAAGCCCGAATTGAACAACACGACCCCCCCCCCCCCCCC